CTGCCAATCGATGGTTGGAGTCGCGCTAAGCCTGGCGATAGTCGACGCTGCGTCCTTCGTTGATTGGCTGCCGGCGAATAGAACCAAGGCGCACGCACACACGCATGCGTTGGGGATTAAGACTCTCAACGGCCGACACGCACACCTTAAGAGATGACTTTCTTCAACTGCTCGCTGAGCCGCTTACCAGAGCAAAGCTTATCTAACCTAATCTTCCTCTCCTGACTTGTGAGTTGGAAATGTTTGCACCTCGACAGGCTGCCCCGCCCATGACCATGACGGCAGTATGTACCGACCGGCGACAAGTGGGAAATACGACGCACCCCTGCTAAGTGGAAGCCATCGCACAGTTGTGGACAAGTTCATTTGTCTGAAGCCTACCATTTCAAAGCACATTAAGCTCAAAGGCCAATTGAAAGGCGGGTTTTTAGGACCAGCCAATCTGTCAACATGCAACAAAACAATCTGGAATTGCCGGAACATCTTCGCAAACAAGAGACTGAGGGCGTACAGGATTTTTAAATATGTTATAAAAATGAACCATTATTTGTTATAGGCAGAATAACATTACCGACAAAGACAAGGGAGACTGGAATGGCCATTTCTGGCTTATTAGCCGTCGTCAGCCAGCCATACCCAAGCCCGAAGTGTGGAACACCCGAGCCTCGAACTCGCGACCTGTTGGTTTAGAAGTCAACGCCTCTACTCACCGGGCCACGAGCCCGTTGCCTTGTCGGTATTCGATCGGGAATATACAGTGGTAGGGGGCGCTCACCGATCGTTCATACGGAACTCACTCGTTCCGTTGTGCCTTAAGAGCTCTCTCTCGAGCCCAACCAGGAACGAGTGAGTTCCGTATGAACGATCGGTGAGCGCCCCCTACCACATTATTTGTTATAGTTTACCCGATGTCAGTTATTTTGGTCTGAAACATGACTATACACACTTCAGGCCGCCTGTCAACTTTTTAACAGTTTTCTTTTGATATTCCCACAGCATGCGTGGGCTTTTTCGTCACCAGGTAAGGACGATCACTCAGGGCGCCAAGAGTGTGGTAGAGTATGTTTATTCGCCTCTGCATGGGAGTGGCTCTCAGTGATCTATCCCAATTGCAGGATAGGAATGGTCATTTAAGCCCTGGATCCACGTGGGTGGGCGCATAATGAGTGGGAATTGTAATTGAAAATAATTACTTACAAAATCAGGGACGCTAAAACTACAATTTCTAATTTTGCTGACATAATCAGCCAGTGGAACCCAAATTCCACACTGCGTGCCTGATGTATGAAGTCTATCTTGACTCATTGTAAGCCACAACAGGCACCGCGTATTAGTTCTCGTACGCGATCACCTGGCAAAAATTACTCACTGTTTGAGTGATGCAAGAGATAGGTCCGGTCGGCAGCGGTGAGTAAACTTTTCAGGACGTTCCCTTTTAGAGCATGAGTCATCTCAAGCCTAATTTAACCACTTGGAAAGTTTACAAAGCAAACCTCAGTTGGACAGAGGCTAAAAGCAGAAAAAACCGTTCCGGACAACTCAGCAGAAAGTTGTGTGCGCTATCCTTATTTGTAAACCCACTTTCGGTCCGCTGACTCAGTTAAAAAGGAAATTCCACGCCCCCCCCCCCTTTTGGAGGCTAGTTGGCGGAACGGACAAGGACATCTATGGTTGTATAAAGGGGCTGTGCACATCACACGAGACTGTTTTCCTTGTTGTTGGTCAATAAAGTAGCTCCTGGAAACTTTCTCTGTCGACTGTTTTTGCAGTAGTTCTTCACCTGCACTCACTTCACTAATGTACAACACACTTGAGAGAGAAAGAGAGAGAGAGAGAGAGAGAGAGAGAGAGA